ATTACTACATTATGCCATTATTCCATTATTACTACATTATTCATTATTCCATTATTCCATTATTCCATCATTACTACACTATTCATTATTCCATTATTCCATTTTTACTATACTATTAAATATAATTCTATTTTATATTATTATTATTATATATTATTCATACATTATATATATTATTCATACATTATATATATTATTCATACATTATATATATTATTCATACATTATATATATTATTCATACATTATATATATTATTCATACATTATATATATTATTCCATTCTTATATATATTTCATTAATACTTTATTATTATATTATTATTATTCCATTACTATTACATTACTCACCGAGGCATTACACTACTCGGTGTACCTGGCCAGGAATACCAGGCCAGGAATACCTGGCCAGGAATACCAGGCAAGGAATACCAGGCCAGGAAAACCAGGCCAGGTATACCAGGCCAGGAATACCAAGCCAGGTATACCAGGCCAGGAATACCAGGCCAGGAATACCTGGCCAGGAATACCAGGCAAGGAATACCAGGCCAGGAAAACCAGGCCAGGTATACCAGGCCAGGAATACCAAGCCAGGTATACCAGGCCAGGAATACCAGGCCAGGAATACCAAGCCAGGAATACCAGGCAAGGAATACCAAGCCAGTAATACCAGGCAAGGAATACCAAGCCGGGAATACCAGGCCAGGTATACCAGGCCAGGAATACCAGGCCAGGAATACCAAGCCAGGAATACCAGGCAAGGAATACCAAGCCAGTAATACCAGGCAAGGAATACCAAGCCGGGAATACCAGGCCAGGTATACCAAGCCAGGAATACCAAGCCAGTAATACCAAGCCAGGAATACCAGGCAAGGAATACCAGGCAAGGAATACCAAGCCAGGTATACCAGGCAAGGAATACCAGGCCAGGAATACCAGGTAAGGAAAACCAGGCCAGGAATACCAGGCCAGGTATACCAGGCAAGGAATACCAGGCAAGGAATACTAAGCCAGGTATACCAGGCCAGGAATACCAGGCCAGGTATACCAAGCCAGGAATACCAGGCCAGGAATACCAGGCCAGGTATACCAAGCCAGGAATACCAGGCCAGGAATACCAGGCAAGGAATACCAAGCCAGGAATACCAGGCAAGGAATACCAGGCCAGGTATACCAGGCCAGGAATACCAGGCCAGGAATACCAAGCCAGGAATACCAGGCCAGGAATACCAAGCAAGGAATACCAGGCCAGGTATACCAAGCCAGGAATACCAGGCCATGTATACCAAGCCAGGAATACCAAGCCAGGAATACCAGGCCAGGAATACCAGGCCAGGTATACCAGGCCAGGAATACCAAGCCAGGAATACCAAGCCAGGAATACCAGGCAAGGAATACCAGGCCAGGTATACCAAGCCAGGTATACCAGGCTAGGAATACCAGGCCAGGTATACCAAGCCAGGTATACCAGGCTAGGAATACCAGGCCAGGAATACCAAGCCAGGTATACCAGGCAAGGAATACCACGACAGGTATACCAAGCCAGGAATACCAGGCCAGGAATACCAGGCAAGGAATACCAGGCCAGGTATACCAGGCAAGGAATACCAGGCCAGGTATACCAAGCCAGGAATACCAGGTCAGGAATACCAGGTCAGGAATACCAGGCTAGGAATACCAGGCCAGGTATACCAAGCCAGGAATACCAGGCAAGGAATACCAGGCAAGGAATACCAGGCCAGGTATACCAAGCCAGGAATACCAGGCAAGGAATACCAGGCCAGGTATACCAGGCAAGGAATACCAGGCAAGGAATACCAAGCCAGGAATACCAGGCAAGGCATACCAGGCCAGGCATACCAGGCCAGGAATACCAGGCCAGTAATACCAGGCAAGGAATACCAGGCCAGGTATACCAGGCAAGGAATACCAGGCCAGGAATACCAGGCCAGGTATACCAAGCAGGGAATACCAGGCAAGGAATACCAGGCCAGGTATACCAAGCCAAGAATACCAGGCAAGGAATACCAGGCAAGGAATACCAGGCCAGGTATACCAGGCAAGGAATACCAGGCCAGGTATACCAAGCCAGGAATACCAGGCCAGGAATACCAGGCAAGGAATACCAGGCAAGGAATATCAAGCCAGGAATACCAGGCAAGGAATACCAAGCCAGGAATACCAGGCAAGGAATACCAGGCCAGGTATACCAGGCAAGGAATACCAGGCCAGGTATACCAAGCCAGGAATATCAGGCCAGGAATACCAGGCAAGGAATACCAGGCCAGGAATACCAGGCAAGGAATACCAAGCCAGGAATACCAGGCAAGGAATACCAGGCCAGGTATACCAGGCCAGTAATACCAGGCCAGGAATACCAAGCCAGGAATACCAAGCCAGGAATACCAGGCCAGGAATACCAGGCCAGGAATACCAAGCCAGGAATACCAGGCAAGGAATACCAAGCCAGTAATACCAGGCCAGGTATACCAGGCAAGGAAAACCAGGCCAGGAATACCAGGCCAGGTATACCAGGCCAGGAATACCAGGCCAGGTATACCAGGCCAGGAATACCAGGCCAGGTATACCAGGCCAGGAATACCAGGCAAGGAATACCAGGCCAGGTATACCAGGCAAGGAATACCAGGCCAGGAATACCAGGCAAGGAATACCAAGCCAGGAATACCAGGCAAGGTATACCAGGCCAGGAATACCAGGCAAGGAATACCAGGCCAGGAATACCAGGCCAGGAATACCAAGCCAGGAATACCAGGCCAGGAATACCAAGCCAGGTATACCAGGCAAGGAATACCAAGCCAGGTATACCAGGCAAGGAATACCAAGCCAGTAATACCAGGCCAGGTATACCAGGCCAGGAATACCAGGCCAGGTATACCAGGCAAGGAATACCAGGCCAGGAATACCAGGCCATGTATACCAGGCCAGGAATACCAGGCCAGGTATACCAGGCCAGGTATACCAGGCAAGGAAAACCAGGCCAGGAATACCAGGCCAGGTATACCAAGTCAGGAATACCAGGCAAGGAATACCAGGCAAGGAATACCAGGCCAGGTATACCAGGCAAGGAATACCAGGCAAGGAATACCAGGCCAGTAATACCAGGCAAGGAATACCAGGCAAGGAATACCAGGCCAGGAATACCAAGCCAGGAATACCAGGCAAGGAATACCAGGCAAGGAATACCAGGCCAGGAATACCAGGCCAGGAATACCAAGCCAGGTATACCAGGCAAGGAATACCAAGCCAGGTATACCAGGCAAGGAATACCAAGCCAGGTATACCAGGCAAGGAATACCAGGCCAGGTATACCAGGCAAGGAATACCAGGCCAGGTATACCAGGCCAGGAATACCAGGCCAGGTATACCAGGCCAGGTATACCAAGCCAGGAATACCAGGCAAGGAATACCAGGCCAGGTATACCAGGCAAGGAATACCAGGCCAGGAATACCAGGCAAGGAATACCAAGCCAGGAATACCAGGCAAGGTATACCAGGCCAGGAATACCAGGCAAGGAATACCAGGCCAGGAATACCAAGCCAGGAATACCAGGCCAGGAATACCAAGCCAGGAATACCAGGCCAGGAATACCAAGCCAGGAATACCAGGCCAGGAATACCAAGCCAGGTATACCAGGCAAGGAATACCAAGCCAGGTATACCAGGCAAGGAATACCAAGCCAGTAATACCAGGCCAGGTATACCAGGTAAGGAATACCAGGCCAGGAATACCAGGCCATGTATACCAGGCCAGGAATACCAGGCCAGGTATACCAGGCCAGGTATACCAAGCCAGGAATACCAGGCCAGGTATACCAGGCAAGGAAAACCAGGCAAGGAATACCAGGCCAGGAATACCAGGCAAGGAAAACCAGGCAAGGAATACCAGGCCAGGAATACCAGGCCAGGAATACCATTCCAGGTATACCAAGTCAGGAATACTAGGCAAGGAATACCAGGCCAGGTATACCAGGCAAGGAATACCAGGCCAGGAATACCAGGCAAGGAATACCAGGCCAGGTATACCAAGCCAGTAATACCAGGCAAGGAATACCAGGCAAGGAATACCAGGCCAGGAATACCAAGCCAGGAATACCAGGCCAGGAATACCAGGCCAGGAATACCATGCCAGGAATACCAAGCCAGGTATACCAGGCAAGGAATACCAAGCTAGGTATACCAGGCAAGGAATACCAAGCCAGGTATACCAGGCAAGGAATACCAAGCCAGTAATACCAGGCCAGGTATACCAGGCAAGGAATACCAGGCCAGGAATACCAGGCCAGGAATACCAAGCCAGGAATACCAAGCCAGGAATACCAAGCCAGGTATACCAGGCAAGGAATACCAAGCCAGGTATACCAGGCAAGGAATACCAAGCCAGTAATACCAGGCCAGGTATACCAGGCAAGGAATACCAGGCCAGGAATACCAGGCAAGGAATACCAGGCCAGGTATACCAGGCAGAATACCAGGCCAGGTATACCAGGCCAGGAAACCCAGGCCAGGTATACCAGGGCCAGGTATACCAAGCCAGGAATACCAGCCAGGTATACCAGGCAAGGAAAACCAGGCAAGGAATACCAGGCCAGGAATACCAGGCCAGGTATACCAGGCAAGGAATACCAGGCCAGGTATACCAGGCAAGGAATACCAGGCAAGGAATACCAGGCCAGGTATACCAGGCCAGGAATACCAGGCCAGGTATACCAGGCCAGGTATACCAAGCCAGGAATACCAGGCCAGTATCCAGGCAAGGAATACCAGGCCAGGAATACCAGGCCAGGAATACCAGGCAAGGAATACCAGGCCCAGGTATACCAGGCCAGGAATACCGCCAGGAATATCAGGCTAAGGAATACGCAGGCCGAGGAATACCAGGCAAGGAATACCAGGCAAGATACCAAGCCTAGAAATACCAGGCAGAGAAATACCAGGACCAGGTATCACATGCCATTAATTACCAGGCCATGAATACCAGCCATGAATACCAAAGCAAGAATCCAGTCCAGGAATCCAGGCCAGGAATACCAAGCCATATACCAAGCCAGGAATAACCAGGCAAGACTACCAGGCAAGGAATACAAGCCAGGATACCAGGCCAAGGAAAACCAGGCCAGGAATACCATGTAAGGAAAACCAGGCCAGGAAATACCAGGCCAAGGTATACCAGGCAAGGAATACAGGCAAGGAATACTAAGCCAGGTATAACAGGCCAGGAATACCAGGCCAGGTGTATACCAAGCAGGAATACACAGGGCCAGGAATTACCAGGCCATTGATAACCAAGCCAGGAATACCAGGCCAGGAAGACCAGGCAAGGAACTACCAAGCCAGGAATACCAGGCAAGGGGAGAAACCACCAGCGCCAGGTATACCAGGCCAGGAATACCAGGCCAGGAATACCACGCCGGAATACCAGGCCAGGAATACCAAGCAAGGAATTACCAGGACCCAGGTTATATACCCAAGCCAGGAATACAGGAGGCATGGTTGATACAAAGCCAGGAATTACCAAGCCAGGAATACCAGGCCAGGAATCCAGGCAAGGGCTTATACCAGGCCAGGAATACCAAGCCAGTAATACCAAGCCAGAATACAAGTGCCACAGGGGGAATACCAGGACAGGTATACCAAGCCAGGTATTTTTTTTTTTTTTACCCAGGCTAGGAATACCAGGCCAGGTTATACCAAGGCCAGGTATACCATGGCGAGGAATACCAGGCCAGGAATACCAAGCAAGGTATACTCAGGCAAGGAATACCACGACAGTATACCAAGCCAGGAATACCAGGCCAGGAATACCAGCAAGGCAAACCAGGCCAGGTATCCCAGTCAAGGATACCAGGCCAGGTATACCAAGCAGAATACCAGGTTCAGTAATACCAGGTCAGGAATACCAAGGCCAGGATACCAGGCAAAGGAATACCAAGCCAGGAATACCAGGCAAGGAATACCAGCAGGAATACCAGGCAAGGAATACCAAGCCAGGAATGACCAGGCAAGGAATACCAGGCCCAGGAATACAGGCAAGGAATACCAGGCCAGGAATACCAGGCAAGGAATACCAGGCCAGGGAATACCAGCCAGGAATACCAGGCACAGGAATACAAGGCCAGGAATACCAGCAGGATACCAGAGCCAGGAATACCAAGCCAGGAATACCAAGGCCAGGAATACCAGGCCAGGAATACCAGGCCAGGATATCCAGCCAGGAATACCAGGACAGGAATACCAGCCAGGAATACCAGGCAAGGAATAACCAAGCCAGGAATACCATGCAAGGAATACCAGGCCAGGAATACCATGCAAGGAATACCAAGCCAGGAATACCAGGCCAGGAATACGCAGGCCAGGAATACCAGTCAAGGCATACACAGGCCAGGTAATACCAGGCCAGGTACCAGGCAGGAATTACCTAGGCCAGGGATACCAGGCAAGGAACAGGGAGGAATACCCAGGCCAGGAATACCAGGCAGGAATACCAGGCAAGGATACCAGGCCAGGATACCAGGCCAGTAATACCAGGCCAGGCTACCAAGGCCAGGAATACCAGCAGGAATCCAGGCCAGGAATCCAGGCCAGGAATACCAATCCAGGAATACCAGGCAAGTAATGCCAAGCCAGTAATACCAGCCAGGTATACAGGCAAGAAACCATGCCATGAATACCAGGCCAGGTATAACCAGGCCAGGAATACCAGGCCAGGTATAACCGGCCAGGAATACCGGCAGGTATACCAGGCCAGTGATACCAGGCAAGGAATACCAGGCCAGGTATACCAGGCAAGGAATACCAGGCCAGGAATACAGCAAGAAAAAAAAAAAATTAAAATTACCAAGCCAGTGAATACATCAAGGTATACCATGCCAGGAATCCAGGCAAGGAATACCAGGCCAGCCAGGAATACCGGCCAGGAATCCAAGTCCAGGAATAACAGTGCCATGAATACCAAGCCAGGTATACCAGGCAAGGAATACCAAGCCAGGTAATATACCAGCAAGGATACAAGCAGTAATACCAGGCCAGGTATACCAGGCCAGGAATACCAGGCCATGTATACCAGGTAAGGAATACCAGGCCAGGAACCAGGGCCATGTTAACCAGGCCAGAATACCAGTCCAGGTATACCAGCCGAGTATACCAGCAAGAAACAGGCCAGGAATAACAGGCCAGGTATACCAGTCATGAATACCAGGCAAGGAATACCAGGCAAGGAATACAGGCCAGTATACCAGGCAAGGATACCATGCAAGGAATCCAGGCCAGTAATTACCATGCAAGGAAATACCAGGCATAAGGAATACCAGGCCACGAATACAAGCCAGAAACAGGCAAGGAATCCAGGCAAGGAATGCCAGGCCAGGAATACCAGGCCAGAATTACCAAGCCATGGTATACCAGGCAAGGATACCAAGCCAGGTATACACAGGCAAGGAATACCAACGTCCAGGTTATAGCCAGGCAAGGATACCAGGCCAGGTATAACCAGGCAGGATACCAGGCCAGGTATACCAGGCCGGAATACCAGCCAGGTATACCAGTCCAGTATACCAAGCCAGGAATACCATGCAAGGAATACCAGCCAGGTTACCAGGCAAGGAATACCAGGCCAGGAATACCAGCAAGGATACCAAGCCAGGAAACCGGGCAAGGTAAAATAACAAGGCCAGGAATACCAGGCCAAGGCATACCCCTGGCCAGGAATACAAGCCAGGAATACCAGGCCAGGAATACCAAGCAGGAATACCAGGCCAGGAATACCAAGCCAGGATACCAGGCCAGAATACCAAGCCAGGTATACCAGGCAAGGAATCCAAGCCAGTATACCAGGCAAGGCATGACCAGCCAGTAATACCAGGCCAGGTATACCAGGTAAGGAATACCAGGCCAGGATACCATGCCGTATACCAGGCGCAGGAATACCAGGCCAGGTAACAGCCATGTAATACAACTCAGGAATACAGGCCAGGTAACCAGGCAAGGAAAACCAGGCAAGGAATACCAGGCCAGGAACAGGCAAGGAAAACCAGGCAAGGAATACCAGGCCAGGAATACCAGGCCTGAATACCATTCCAGGTATACCAATTCATGAATACTAGGGCGAAGGATATACCAGCCAGGTTATACCAGGCAAGGAATACCAGGCCAGGAATACAGGCAAGGATACCAGGCCAGGTATACCAAGCCAGTAATACCAGGCAAGGAATACCAGGCAAGGAATACAGGCCTAGGAATACCAAGTCCAGGAATACCAGGCCAGGAGATCCAGGCAGGATACCATGCAGGAATACAAGCCAGGTATACCAGCAAGGAATACCTACTAGGTATACCAGGCAAGGATACCACCAGGTATACAGGCAAGGAATACCAAGCCAGTAATACAGGCCAGGTATAACCAGGCAGGATACCAGGCCAGGCATACCAGGCCTAGGAATACCAGCCAGAATACCAAGCCAGGATACTAGCCAGTATACCCTCAAGGAAATACCAGCCAGGTATACCAGCAAGGAATACAGCCAAGTAATACCAGGCCAGTACTCCTGCAGGAATACCAGGCCAGGAATACCAGGCAAGGAATACCGGCCGAAGGTATCCAGGCAAGGAATACCAGCCAGGTATACCAAGCCAGGAAAACCGCCAGTAATACCAGGCCAGGTATACCAAGCCAGGAATACAGTCCAGTGTATACCAGCAAGGAAAACCAGTCAAGGATACCAGGCAGGATACCAAGCCATGTATACCAGGCAGGAATACCAGGCAGGTTACCGGCAAGGAATACTAGGCAATGAATACCAGGCAGGTATACCAGGCCAGGATACCATGCGGTTAACCAGCCAGGTATACAAAGCCCGGATACCAGCCAGTAATACAGGCAAGGAGATACCAGGCCATGAATACGGCCAGGAATACCAGGCAAGGAATACCCGCCAGGTATACCAGGCCAGGAATACCGCCAGGAATATCATGCAGGAATACCAGGCCCGGATACCAGGCAAGGAATACCAGGCCAGTATACCGGCAAGGAATACCAGCCAGTAATACCATGTCAAGGATACAGGCCAGAATACCAGGCAAGGAATACCAGCATGAATACAGGCAAAATGAAAACCAGGCCGGAATACCAGGCCAGGAATACCAGGCAAGGAACAGCCAGTATACCAGGCAAGGATACCAGGCCTATGAATACCAGGCAAGAAAACAGGCCAGGAATACCAGGCCATGGTATACCAGGCAAGGAATACCGGCCCATGTTACCAGCCGGAAATACCGCCGGAATACCCAATGCCGGAATACAGGCCAGGAATACCATTCCAGGAATACAAGCCAGTAGATGCCATCAAGGAATACCAATCCAGGAATACCAGGCAAGGAATACCAAGCCAGGTATACCAGGCAAGGATACCAAGCCAGGAATACCAGGCAAGGAATACAACCAGGTATACCAGGCCAGTAATACCAGCCAGGAATACCAGGCAAGGATCCAAGCCAGGTATACCAGGCAAGGAATACCAGCAGTGAATACCAGCAAGGACTACCAAGCAAGGAATACCAGGCAAGGAATTACCAAGCAGAATACCAGGCAAGAATACCAAGCCAGAATACCAGGCAGGATACCAGCCAGGAATCAGCAGGAATACGCAGGTCCATGAATACCAGCCAGGCATACCAATCCCGGAATACCAAGCCAGGAATACCAAGCCAGGTATACCAGGCAAGGAATACCAAGCCAGGTATACCGGCAGGAATAACCAAGCCAGTATACCAGGCCAGGTATACCAGGCAAGGATACATGCCAGGATACCTAGGCAAGGAATACCAGGCCAGGTAATACCAGCAAGAATACCAGGCCAGGTATACCCAAAAAGGCCAGGAAACCCCAGGCAGGTATACCTGGCCAGGTATACCAAGCCAGGAATACCAGGCCAGGTATACCAGGCAAGGAAAACCAGCAATGAATACCAGGCCAGGAATACCAGCCAAGGTATACCAGGCAAGGAATACCAGGCCAGGTAATACCCTGCAATGAAACCATGCAAGGAATACCATGCAGGTATACCAGGCCAGGAATACCAGGCCAGGTATCCAAGGCCAAGGTATACCAAGCCAGGATACCAGGCCAGTATCCCGGCAAGGAATACCAGGCAAGGAATACCAGGCCAGGAATACCAGGCAAGGAATACAGCAGTATACCAAGCCAGGAATACAGGCCGAATATCAGGCAAGGATACCAGGCCAGGAATACAAGGCAACAGGATACCAGTCCAGTAAATACCAGGCAAGGATACCAAGCCAGTAATACCAGGCAAGGAATACCGGCCAGAAATACCAGGCAAGGAATACCAGCCAGGAATACCAGGCAAGGAAAACCAGCCAGGAATATCCAGGCCAGGAATACCAGGCAAGGAACACCGGCCTAGGATACCAGCAAGGAATACCAGAGCCAGGAATACCAGGCAAGGAAACCCGGCCAGGAATACCAGTCCATGTATACAGGCAAGGAATACCAGGCCAGGTATACCAAGTCCAGGACTACCAGGCCGGAATACCAGCCAGGAATACAGCCAGGAATACCATCCAGGAATCCAAGCAGTAATACCAGGCAAGGAATACCATAGCCAGAATACCAGGCAAGGAGGATATACCAAGCCAGGTATACCAGGCAAGGAATAA